AAATTATAATTATTTTAATTTAAAACGAAAAAATAATATATTAATAAAAAAATTTATATTAATTAATTTATTTGAAAAAAAATTAATATAATTTAAAACAAAAAAATATTATATTAATAAATAAAAAGTATATTAATTAATTTATTGGATAAAAAATATTTTTAATTATCAGAAGAATAATAATTACTAAATATTATTAAATTAATTAATCACTATTTAAATGGGTAAAAAATTTCACTTATTAATAATAATTAATTTCACTTAAGAAAGTTAAATAAAAGATATATTAAAAAATATATATATTAATAATTAGTTGTATTAGAAAAATTATATATATATTTATTAAAAGATATATATATATATAAATATAGTTAAAGAATATATTAAAAAATATTTATGTAATTTGTTAGCAAAAAAATATTTACTAATTATTATTTTATATTTTTTATTCAGGGTGTTAGTAGACCTAGACAATCTGTCAGGGATGACAACGACGAGGTTAATGAATATTATCAAGGTTCTGGCCCCTGACACACTAGAAGTCGGGGTGTAGATGCGTCCGTTCGTCGGGAGAGGGACAGACAGACGATGCTCCTCAACTACAATATAATTTTGTAATTTAGAGGGATTATACAATTAATTAGTTATGAAAGTATTTGGATTATTTTTATTATTGTTATAAACAATTAGTAGTGATATTAAATAATAAATTAGTTTAAAATTGTTATTGTACTTTATTAATGTAAAATGTAACGTTTCTAAATGAGTTTTTTTTTTATTGCAAAACATTAAGTTGAATGATCTGTAACACGAATTAAAAATGAAAAAAAAATTATCATTGATGCGATTTTTGATTGCAGAGACAGGCTCGTTCGTGTTACAAAGCAATTGAAAATCGCATCAATGGTACTTTTTTTTCATTTTTAAGTTGAATGGTTTTTTTTGTTTTGCTAAACTTCAGTTGAATGAGTTTTTTTTTATTCTAACGTCCAATTTATAACAAATTATTTTGAATATATAACATAATAATTTATAATAATATTATAAAAAAAAACATGGTGTCCGGCCGGTCGGAACGGTCACGACCGGCTGTCGGGGCCGGACGCCAATTGGGTCGTCCGGTTTTGGCGGCCGAACAACAATATATCTTTTTTTTTGTATTTTTTGAAAAAAAAAAAAAAAATATCCAAAGAAGCGATAAAGAATAATAGGGGTGGTGAATAGTAATCCCCTTTTTTTTCCGCGTGACTGCCTCGGGCTTCTTTCACAAAAATCCTCTCTGCGTAAAAACAATACTTGCCAAAAAATTGCTAAAAATAATTCTTGGTTGCAAAGTTATGATTAGGACTCATTTCTCAAAATAAGATTCCACCAGGCTTCGTATTGATTTCTATTGGGCCAAAATCACTCAATCTCACTATTGGGCCAATTTTGTGCAAACTTTTAGGCCCAATTTAGTTCCTTGGACCAAATTAATTGGTTTGGGCAGGTATGGGGTGGCCCGTACTCTGCCGGCTCATACTTTTGTCAACCGCTTTCTCTAAAATCCCCTTACCAGCTGAAAATAAAGTATAAAATATCAAAGCAAATGAATCAATCCAAATAATAAATAGGTCCAAAAATATAATAGTGCGAATAAATTAAGCGTATAATAATACACTATTAAATATATAAAACACGCACATTTTTTGACCTATCAATTATTGAAATAATTTACTATTTAATATTATAAAAGTATATTTATTATTTATTATTTCCCATATATTAAAATTTTACATATTAATTTTTTTTAACATTGTACACTTTATTTATCATTATTAAACGTTTATAAAAATGGTGCTATAAATTACATATTTGCCCATTAAATAAATGAAAAATACTCAAGTTTATAAAATTGCAAATATGCTCTAGACAATATCTAATTTCAAAAAAAGGACCACAATTGACACCCTTATTCACACGTCACAGCAGATTCCGTTAGCTCTTTCGGTGCCATCTCCGGCGACCGCACACGCCCCGCTCGGCTCTGGAGTCCATAACACTACATCGACGCTATCCCGTCGATCGTCGCCGCTGTCTACTAATATAATTCAAATTGATGAAATTAGATTATAAAAATATCAAAGCAAATAAATTCATCCAAGTAATAAATACGTCGAAAAATATAAACGTGCGAATGAATGAAATGTTTAAAAATACACTTTCAAATATATAAAACGTGTTTTTTGACCTATCAACTCACAGCCCCAGTCTCGACTGCTAAAAATCGGCGAGCGACCTATTGCCGGTAAAATTGGGCCACCAGATCTGGGCGACCGGTAGGGTGGGAGTCTGGCAAGCGACAAGCAGGAGAAGGTTGTTGTTGGTGGTACGACGGCAGATCTGTGGCCTCCGAAGAAGCCAGA